GTATATAGTAAGTCCTATATAGAGGGTAGAGTGGGTAATCTAGAAGTGAGGTTAAAATCTACTCAGCACTACTATACAATAGAGAACTTATCTTAGATTAATTATTTTTTTTTATGCACTCAGGAGAGGATAAGAATAGGTATGCTCTTATTTGTCACAATACATCATTAAACTTTTAAACATTTTGATTCCAACACAAATTATCAACTCATTGCAAGGGGAAAGATTCTTTTCATAACAAGACTCTCTTTTACATTTATTATAGTTAAAATTTTTGCATTTACATTTAGTTTTAATCAGAACTTGTAGAAATTTAGTAACTTTACTTTACATCTGAATTTGAACTTTACATCAGAATTTGATATTATATTTTTTAGATTAATTTCTGCAGTTTTAAGTAAAAGTTTCACTAAAATTCTATTCATTGAATTACAACTTCTTTGTGAGAAGACTGGAGTTTTTATAGAAAGATCTAGAAAGCTCTATTTTATTTGAAATGATATGTATACTTGCGTAGTACCTCTAGTGTGAAAACTATTATCCTATACTTTATAACATTTCATTTATTCACACTAGCCGCTAAATATGAATTGGGTCGAGTTTTTGGAAATCTTTTAGAATATAAAAATCTGCGTAATTGCGGTTGGGTCAGCTTCTCGAAAAGCCAAAACTCATCCTAGCAGTTGCTGGCGAATAGACTCCTAGATGATAGTGCCTAGGTGTTAGTCTCTTTGTTTGTTATAAAAGGCATGAGGGCTTAGATGCTCATGGGTCTGACACTAGTATCATGGTGCTTAGGCTTCTAGTGGTTGGCGCCTGGATGCCAAACTCTTGAGTTGTCTAAGTGAAGGATGTGCACTTTGGTGTTAGCCTTTAATATGCTCTTTTGCTCTAAGTCTCCTCCACATTTCCTTACTTCCATTAACTATTATACCTGCATGAAAAACGTAAAAATAACTTTCTTTAAATTACAATCTCATCCATAAAAATGTGTAAATCATAAATAAATTTTAAGATACTTATCTACACATTACCAAATAGGTGGGGTATTGCACCTCTCGAATGAATCTCGACCTTACAGCTTCAGAACCTCTTCCCTGATGGGCCCAGTCAGCGCAGTCACTTAGTTCCTTTTGTTCTGCTTGATTGGCTTGACTGGAGGGCTCATGTTCAACCTATAACAAGAAACATCAGCTGATAACCTCAAATTCTTCACGACGAACCAGACGAAG